GTCTGCCCCGCCCTCTCCCAGCCTGCCCAGCCCTCTCCCAGCCTGCCCCGCCCTCTCCTATCTGTCACGCTTCCACACAATCATAAGATCCGAGTCTGGATGAAGAAGACACTGATCTGATCCCCACCCTCCAAACCTCCCGCCCGACCTCCTCCCCATCACAACTGCTGTTTAAAGGAGTCCCCGTTTCCTGTCCTCAACCCTCCCTCTTCCTCACAACCTGTTTCAGTCATTAATTTTCTCTGGGTAAAGAAAAACTTCCTGGGAGGGGAGGTGACCACAAGCAAGGAAGAGGAAAGTGTTAAGGAGAGATTTAAAGACAGATAAAGAAGGGGCGAATAGGAGGGGGGGGAGGGATAGAGGAGAAAGAAAGTCACACATCTGACTGGCCAGGGCTGCTCTCAGTCCGTCTTTATAAATGAATAATAATAAATCTTGCATTTGACATAGTGTCGTATCACGTCGTTGAGACATCTCAAAGTGCTTCACAGAATATACTGTAAAGTAGATTGACTATTTTTTAGGTAAAATGCGGCAGCCAATTGTGCAAAGCAGTGTCCCCACAAATAGTCGTGGATTGAGTGATTACATTTTTTTTAAGGGATTATTACCCCAGGTTCCTACTTACTGCTGATAAATAGCGGCGTGTGTGTGAAGTAAGAAAGCTTCCCTCAGGTTTCGCCCTCCCGGGAATCAAACCTGGGCCCTCTTGCTTGGGAGGCGAGCGCTCCAACCACAAGGCTACAGGACTCCTAATGAAATCTCTTTGTCAACACAGGCACTTATTGGACCTATCAGATGTTTAGCGCTGACTTTGAGAACAAGGATTCCCCTGATTACTGCCACAAAGGATTCTATACCTTTGCCTTTGTCTCTGTGAACGTCACCTGCTTTGTGTATATTTTCCTGTCTCTTTTCCACATTTTCGCTCCAGTGTTGCTACCCCATCTGTTCAGCGGATCCCAAGATCTGGACTAGGGCTCCCAGCGTCAGCTCTCCCGCAAACTCAAAGTGCAATAAGGCGGGCACAAGAGCAGTCCTGGCCGCTGGCACCTCAGCAGCCTTACTGTATCTTTATTGATAAAAGAGAGATGTGATCAGCTCCTGTCTACTGCCTCCTTCTTCATCAATCCAACAACTTGCACCCAGCTGTATGGCGTCCCAAAGCGCATAACGGTGGCAGAGCCCAATGCCGAGCCAGGGGGAGGGGGAAGGTAGGCACGGTTGAAGAGGAAGATCTTCAAGAGCGACGTGAAAATGGGGAGAGAGGGGGAGGCAAGGCAAAGGGATTGAGGGAGTGTTCCACATCTTTGGGGGCTTAGTGGCTGAAAGCACAGCTACCGATGGTGGAGCTGGAGGATCTGGGGGACAAGGAGGAGGTCGGAGCCAGCCGAGCGGAGGCAGCGGATAGCAGTGTTGGGAGAGTAGGTTGGAGAGATGGGGGGAGGGGTGCCAGGGCCAACCTTCTGTGGGTGATGCTCACAGGGAGTTCCTGGTACTACTGTCCACCCCGTGAGGCTCCAACCCACGCTTGTCAGGGGTCAAATGAACAACTAATGCCTTTCCTCCTCGGGGGGAGGGGAGGTAAGCTGAACCCTTGAATGAGGCAAGGGAGAGAACAAGGCGAAAGAAGAGTGCTGTTCAAAAGGGTGGGATGGAGAGGCTGAAGACCTGAGTGCCGATGGCAGGGTGGGCAGGGAACATGGAGCAGGCCAGTGCCTGCTGAACGGAAGGAGCGGACAGGTTGATGAGGGGTTAACAGGGTATAGAGGTAGGAAGGGGCAAGGCCATGGAGGGCCTTGAAGGCTGTTCATTATGGATGAGTTGGGTGCAGACCCCATCCCTGTTACTGTAGCTGTGTCCGGTGCAGGGACTATGGATGTGTTGAGGGTGAGAATTACTCTCTTTCCTATCTAAGGTCCTTGAGAGAGCCGTTGCCTCAGCTTCGCTCTTCCCTCTCCTCCCACTCCCTCCATGAACTCCTCTAATCGTGTTTCGGTGCTGTCACAGCACAGAAACTGCTCTGGTCAAAGTCACAAACGACATCCTGACCATGTGTGACCAGGGCTCCCTCTGCCTCCTCGTCCTCTCCACTGCCTTTGACACCGTGGACTATTCAATCCTCCTCCACCGCCTCTCCTCCCACCTCAACCTTCAAGGTTCTGTCATTGACTGGTTCAGGTCCTACCTTTCACACGGTCTACACTTCATCGCGGCAAACGGCTTCTCCTCCAGCCCCTGCACTGTCTCGTGCGGTGTTCCTCAGGGCTCTGTCCTCAGTCGCCTCCTCTTCACCCTCTACATGCTCCCCCTTGGTGATGTGGATGACACCCAACTCTATATCTCTGCCTCCACCCTCAACTCCAGGACTACTGGTGTCCTGACCGACTGCCTGTCCGACATCAAATCCTGGATGAGGGACAACTTTCTCCAACTCAACATCAGCAAAACCAAGGCCCTCCTGATTGCCTCGGGCGCTGGCAGCATCAGCCTCCATGGCTACGCACTCCACCTCACTAAGCCAGTCAGGAACCTGGGTGTCTTGTTTGACCCTGAACTGTCTTTTCTTCCCCACATCTGCGCCATGACCGGCACTGCCTACCACCACCTCCGCAACATTGTCAGACTCCGCCACTGCCTCACCCCTCAGGCTGCCCAAACCCTTACCCACGCATGCCTCACATCAAGGCTCCACTACGGGAACTCCCTCCTCATCGGCCTTCCCAACGCTTCCCTTCACAAGTTGCAGATCATCCAAAACTCTGCAGGTCATGTACTCTCGCGCACCAGGCTCCGTGACCCCATCACCCCCACCCTCGCCCGACCCCATCACCCCTACCCTCACCCGACCCCATCACCCCCACCCTCGCCCGACTCCACTGGCTCCCCATCCCCTAGAGGATTGAGTTCAAGTTCCTTGTTCTCACTTTCAAGGCCATCCATGGCCTTGCACCCCCCTACCTCTTAGACCTGCTGACTCCCTACCAACCTGCTCACTCCCTCTGTTCAGCGGGCTTCAGTCTGCTCCATGTCTCCTGCCCGACTCGACCAACCATCGGTGGCCGGTCTTTCAGCCTCTCTGCTCCCACACTCTGGAACTCCATCCCACGGTCCCTTCGCCTCGCTTCCTCCCTTGCCTCCTTCATGGCTGGTCTTAAGACCCTTCTCTTCATTATACTTTCGGTCGCCCTCCCACCTATCTGCTTCCCCTCACCCCTACCCCACCCCTCCCTTATGCTCGGGTCCTGACCCCTGACTGTTCAGTGCCTTGGGATGTCCTCCCGATGTGAAAGGCGCTCTATAAATGTAATTTTGTTGTTGTTGTTAGTGGATAGTTAAGGGTGGGCAGGACTTTGGGGGCTTGGAGCTTTCTCTGATGCGTTATGGAGTTTGTGTTTTATCTTTGAGATAACAGTTTTAAGTAAGGAGATTTATTTCACAATTTATGTTATTAGTTTTTTTTACTTTTTATTCGTACGGTTGATAAATCACTGTTGTAAATTTGCTGTTAGGCGTATCTTTTGAAGTTTGGATTGTGTGTAAACATTTATTATGCTAATTTACAATAAGGTCTTGTGTTATGTTGAGCAATAGCCTGATTATTCTTTCGAAATTTGTATTATAACTTTGTGTGTAGTGTTTTGTTCCTAATTTTAGGTAGTTTTATGTCATAATTTAGATCAGGGAGGTCCAACTGGCAGCCCATCAGCCACATTCAGTCCAGGAATATTTTGATCTGGCCCCAGTACCTTTTCCAACTGCGGACTGAATGCTCTGCCTCTCACCAGCGAACTATCCTCTCATGGCAGAGGCAGGAGCCGGAGGTTGGTAAAGTGACCAGTTTGCCTTACCCTCAGCTTGAGAGGAACTCTGACACCCTGCAGTGCACTGAGCTCTGGAGTAGAAATACCGGCTGTTGTTGCAGTATGTCAGACAGCCCTTCCTGAGCTGAGTGGAAGGGACCTCCCAACCGGCAGCTCTTGCCGCCACCAGATAATGAGCCACACACGTGGGCGGCCTGGGAAGCAGCTGTTCTCACTGCCAGATAGTGAGCCATGTGACTGATTGAGAGAGAGTGACTGAAAGGGGCGGGAGAGGAGATAATGTTTTAGAGTGCGGGAGGGAGAGAGGATGTGAGAAATGGGGAGTGCTCCACCATCGCCATTTTGTCCTCGCTCTCTGGAGCTCCATTGCCAGAATCCCTCCGTCTCGCTCTTTCTCTTCTGTCCTTCAAAGTACATCAAGATCTAATCCTTTGACCTCACTTTCAGTCATCTTTTCCCCTCCCCATCCCACCCCCAGCTCAGGTGCTCAGCGGACAGTGTCAAGAGCTTTGAGATATCCTTCCAACGTGAAAAAGGCGCTGGGCAAATGTTTCCTTTCCAGAAACTTAAAAATATTGCTCACGTGGCCCGTGGAAGTTTCTCGAACCGGGCATTTGGCCCTCAGTAGCCAACAGGATGGACCACCCTCAATCAGGTTGGACCACCCTCAATCAGGTTATAGTTTTCATTTACTACGTTTGTACAGTTGATAATTTTGGTTCATAAACTTACTGTTATGAAATGTGAAACAATATGAAAGGTGAGATGTGACACCTCGGGAAATGGTAAAACGTTCTGCAATGTCAAATGATGAGACTCAATCTTGACTCTGCTAACTGCCGTAGACAGTCATCCACTTCCCTTACTCACTCTCTGCACCTGCCTAAGGGGTCACCACCTCTTGGGGTTCAAGCGGAGTGGTGAGTGAGGTTGGCTGAGAGTTTGGGCTGAAAAATTAGTACAAGACTGTATTCAGCAAAAAAAAATCTGCTTTTTGTGGAAACTGGATGTTTCCTTCCTCTTTCCTTTCCTCATGTCTCTTTACTCACATTCCTCCTCTCTTTACCCATGTTCCTCCTCTCTTTCCTCATCCCTTTACCCCATATTCCTCCTCCCTTTACTCATGATCCTCCTCTCTTTCCTCATCTCTTTACCCCACACTCCTCATCCCTTTGCCCCATGTTCAGCTTTCCTTTCCTTATGTTTTACTGGAGTGGAATCCTGTAGCTTATTGATAGAACTTGGGTTCAATTCCCAGTAGTGCAAATGGTTGGACAAGTTTCCTTAATCCACACACACCTGTTTACCTAACACTAAGTAGGAACCTGGTTGTTCGTCGATTGGCAGATCGCTTTTCTGGGGGTAATAATTCCTTCAAAATAAAGAAAAATTATTTGGTCACTGAATCCACGATGATTTGTGGGACACTGCTGTGTACAATTGGCTGCTGCATTTTGCCCACAAAATGTACAGTCAATTCATTTTATAGTATATTCTGTGAAGCGCTTTGAGACGTCTAGAAGACATGATAAGGCGCAACATCAAATGCAAGAATTATTATTTTTACAACCATTATTTGGACAACAATAACATTACCGGAAATCAGTTAATGCCATTCACCATTTATTGTGAACATAACTTCCGGGAGTGACCTTCTACAATTCAAATCTGAAGAAAGCCAACAAGTTTGCCCTATGTTCTTCCTCCTTCCCACCCAAAAATGTAATTTGTTGTTGTTCTTACAATGTTTTTGGATACACTAAGAGGACACAAAACTGCAAAGGGCAATTTCAGAATAGACACAAGAGAGTGTTTTTTTAAATCCAGAAACGAATTAATGACAAGCACAGAATACCACGAAAGGTGGTTAAGTACAGGGTAATGGACTCACTTAATAAACAGCTCGGTGCTGTGATGGGAGGAAGTATGGGCGGCAATTAACGTGGCAAAAGACCTTCACCTGAATCTGTTTTCTGATCTTGCTTTCAAATATCTTGTCTTCAGGAGAATAAACAGTGAAAAAAATACCATGTGTTTACTGCAGGGAAAATGCACAGTTCTCATTCTTCTTTGTTTCCCTGTCACATGCTTTGCCCTCTGCCTCAGATTTTATAAATGGCGACATTTGGCACAGGTGTTGGAATGCCACGTTGATGTTGGCACTATACACTGGCACAGCAGAAACCACAGAACAAATTTACTGAGAGGATTGGCAGATAAATCCTAGATAAAATCAGAGAACAGTGTGTACTTTTTGCTCCTAGTCCAGGTCATCTAGGCTAGAAATTGGAACAAGCCTTTGATTGTGTTAAAGATAATTGGAGGATGACTCCAGGCAGGAAGAATCTGTGGTAAAGAAAAGGCAGAGAAGAGAAACAGCAGTGAATAGATTCACAAAAAGAGAGACGGTGCTGATAGCTGCCAAGTACAGTAGCAACCAGGAATACAGGAGAGTTTTTCACCCCGGGAGCAGAGACGGTTAAGAGGATTTAATTTAATAGAAGTTTTCAAAATTATGAGGGGATTCAATAGAATCATAGATTCGTACAGCATAAAAAGAGGCCATTCGGCCCATCGAGTCTGTGCCGGCTCTTTGAAAAGAGCAATGTAATGTAATGATAGGCTGAACAAGGAGAAACTATTTCCACTAGCGGTGGGTTGGTAACCAATTTCAAATAGTTGTTAAAAGAAACAGAGGGGAGGTGAGGAGAAATGTTTTCACATTTGAGTTGTTGGGATTTGGAATGCATTGCCTGAAAGGCTGGTGGAAACCGATCGATAACATCTTTTAAGAGAGAAGCAGATAATTATTTGGGGAGGACAAGTTTGCAGGACTATGGGGAGAGAGCCGGGGAGTGGGGTTGATCAGGGCTATGGGGAGAGAGTGGGGGAGTGGGGTTGATTAGGGCTATGGGGAGAGAGCGGGGGGGAGTGGGGTTGAATTGGAAGCTCTTTTGAAAGAGCCGACACAGACACGAAGGGCCGAATGGCCTCCTTCTGTGCTGTATAATTCTATGATTCTATGATACACAGTCTATTCTGTCATACCGTCCCTAACAGCACCGAGTCCTGGGAAAGTTCAGATTTGTAAACTCCTGTGAATTGATTCTGGAATGTCCAGCGGAACTGTACAGTCTACAAAGACAGGTACCACAAGAATCCAGTGACCTGAGCAACTGAAGTATGGGCCATTTGTTATTCTGATTTCTTATTGTTCCATGCTGCTGCTCAAGCACATCGTTACTGATGTAATAATTATCTGTACAATCAAGATATATGGGGCCAAAGTGCCTGATAAGCATCCATAGAAGGTTCCTTTCTCCTATAAATAGCAGCCACCTCACTACGGAAAGTCGCCTTCAGACTGACGAACTGACTGCAAGGATGAAGTCCCAAAGCCACTACCTGTTGGCTGTGCTCGTAGCTGCGGTCTTGGCATCGTCCCTAGGTAATGATCATTCTTTCTCCAAGAGCGCTGATACATTCTAAATCTCGATTGAACTCTTTTCCTTCAAGCGGCAAAGCTGTGGTCTCTCTGAGAGAGAGTTGCTCTGGAGAGATGGTGGGATGATATTGTGCTGCTGTCTGATATTGTGTACAGGTTTAGCCTGGGAAATAAGGCATAAAATGGACCTGACAGCCTACAGTACAGATCGGTTACCCATATGCTGAATATTTTATGAAATAGACTGATTTTCAACAGATTCAAGAACCCATGTATAACTATAATCCTTGCATTTGGATGTAATGCCTTCTCACACGGCGCGATGTCTCAATACTGTAAAGTGCAAAGTGGTGTGACTGTATTTTGTGTATGAACATGAGATCAGACTCCGCCTGTCAAGTGTTCTGGAACTCTTAATCCAAGTGAAGAGTGCTATTTAAATATAATTTATTGGTTGTGGACGTGACATGTCAAGCGACTGCCAGGATGGTGGAAGGCAAACTAGATGTACCTTGGTTTTCTTTCGTCCTAGCAAATTTTTATGTTCTTATGCTGTTGTTGCCAAATCTCTCAGTCTTGTGAAATGTAAGCTGAAATTTAGTGCAGTTTCTATTCAGTGCTAATTTCTGACACCAGTTAATAACAATAATATTATAAAATATAAAGTTGAAATATTGTAACTCACAGGCAGGCAAAGAGCCACTGAGAACAATCGTAATAACTTGGTCACTTCAATGCTCGACTGTTTGTGGGACGTTGCTGTGTGCAATTGGCTGCCATATTTCGGCCAAAAAATATACAGTCAATTCACTTTACAGTATAATCTGTGAAACGTTTTGAGACGTCTCGAAGACGTGATAAGGCGCTATATCAAATGCAAGTATTATATTATATCACATGCTTCATAATCTCGGTGCTTCAATATCAGTATCCAAAAGCCCCTCTGAAACTCACTCTCCGTTACAATTTACCCTCATTTTCATGTACACCGGTCTCAAACCTCTCAGATTTATAAGTCTCTACAGTCGTTACAACAGTCCTGAGCATGTCATTCAGCTGGACCTCTGGCTTTTTTGTTCTTGGCATCATGCTCCGCCAGTCAAGCGCTCTGAGATGCTACCCTGCATGACAGGTGCTATCCAAATGCAAGTCGTTGTAGTTGGTGTAGTTGTTCCCTGGTCCTCCCCCCTTGAGTCCCAGCATCACAACTCTATACACTATCTCCAATTCCCATCATTCTCATGGAATTTGTGATATTAAATTCCTCAAAGTTAGGAAAAAATGGCCTCTGACTGTTTGTACTCAATGTTTTATAAAAGATATTGTCAGGAAATTATAGAGGTAAAATGTATAAAATGCATATGATTGCACATTACAGTTAACATAAATATCTTTAAATCTCAGGGAAGCATTACGAAGCTTCCGGATACCTCCCTGCAGGTAATACTCAAAAGTCAAACTGTTTCCTTTGCCTCAACGAATTAGTCAATGTTGCACAGCAATAATCATAACAATAAATTATAGAATAAAAAGTGTTGTTTACCCCATTGTGTCTGTGAGAGCGTTCATTCCCCCATTGGAGTTTGCTATTAATAAACCTCCTTTGCTCTTTCCCATTGTGTCTGCACTGCTGCTTCCTCACCAGTAGAGCTCTGTGCTCAACAACATGTTGCATTTGTGTTGTGTGAGGAATAGCACGAGGAGGAAATAAGGAGGGGAAGCTGAGTGACCAGGAGAAGGGTGGGGATTGGGCGAAGGGAAGGAGGACCCTGGGGTTGCCCTTGGTCTCCACGATGATCCTGGAGTAGCAGGACCATTTGGCTGAGGTTAGGCTGAGCGATAGGGTTTAGTATAATCCAGCCATGATCAGCCTGTTACCATGAGGCCAGATTTAAGCCACATGCATTTGGAGGCATGGGCCTGGGATGTGATGGAGCTGAGGTGGCTGTGGTACCAGGAGGATTGAGGGGGAGCAGACTGTGTGGGGTGTGATGGTGAGAGGGTGTTCAGAATGGTGGTGAGGGAGCTGTGCATGCGATGCAAAGTTATGACTATTGATGTCAGCAGTGTTAATGTTGTAAGCAGTGATGTTGATTTAGTCAATCTTTATAATCTTTATAATCTCTTCTCTTGACAGTTCCTGACCATGGTAAGAAACAGAATTGGCAATATTTGTTTCTTTAAATGTATGTTTTTATTCTTCATCGAGTCAATTGCAGCTCTATGACAAGATTTAAGGTATATGAATTTACAATATTGAAGAAAAGTAAACCTTTCCATGTTGCGTTATTTTGCTTTAGTTTGCGTTAATTGATTTAGTTGCTACTTTTAAAGTGTATGTAAATATCTAACTTGGTAATATTGGTAATATTTATATTGAATTCAGAATTTAAAGCTTATTGTTTAATTGGAAAAGGAGACAGTGTGTTTCCTGATGGATTTCCATTCTCACGTTGTGGAATTGTTCAGATTCAGTACACAGAGAACCATAGAATCTTACAGCACAGAAGGAGGCCATTCGGCCCATCGTGCCTGTGCCGGCTCTTTGAAAGAGCTATCAATTAATCCCACTGCCCCGCTCTTAACCCTTAGCCCTGGCAATATTACCTTTTAAAGTACCTTATCTAATTCCCTCTTGAAAGCAATGTCGAATCTGCTTCCAGCACCGTTTCAGACAGTGCATTCCAGACTGTAACGACTCCCTGGGTAAAAAAAATTCTGCTGGTCTTCCCTCTGGTTCTTTTGCCAGTTATTTTCAATCAGTCAATCTGATTCAGAGTCAACATGTCTTTACAAAGGAGAAGTCATGCTTAACAAATCTTTTAGAGATTTTTGAAGCTGTATCTCGCAGGTTAGATAGAGGGGAACCAATAGATGCAGTAAATTTAAATTTTAAGAAGGCATTTGACAAAGTGCTGCACAAAAGGCTATTTATTGCACAAGGTTAAGACCCACGGGATTAATGGGAACATATTCGCATGGATTGAAGAGTGGCTAACGGGAAGAAAACAGAGTGTAGGGATAAACGGGTCATTCTCGAATTGGCAGGATGTGACTAGAGGAGTGGAGTCCTGTAGCTCAGTGCTTAGAGCACTCGCTTTGCAAGTGAGAGACCTGAGTTCAATTCCAGGCAGAGGGCCAAACCTTCTTTACTCTACACACCTAATAATAATCCCTCCAAAACCCAATACAATAATAAATTGGTCATTTTCAATCTACGACTGTTTGTGGGACATTGCTGTGCGCAATTGGCTGCCGCGATCGCCCTCAAATGTACAGTCAATTCACTTTACAGTGTGTTCTGTGAAGCGCTTTGGGACGTCCTCCCGACGTGAAAAGCGCTATATCAAATGCAAGGATTATTATTATTATAGAGGAGTTCCACAAGGATCAGTGTTTGGGCCTCAGCTATTTACAATTTACCTCAATGACCTGGACAAGGACATTGAATGTAACGTATCTAAATTCACGGATGACACTAAAATCGGTGGGAGAGTGAGCTCTGAGGATGATGCAAAAAGATTGTAATGGGATATAGATAGTCGAGGGGAGTGGGCGAGTCGGTGGCAGATGGAATTTAATGTGGGGAAGTGTGAAGTTATTCACCTCGGTGGCAAAAATAGAAAAACAAATTATTTTCTAGAGGTGGAGAGATTAGATAGTGTTAGTGTTCAGAGGGATTGGGGTGTCCTTGTACACCAGTCCCAAAAAGTTAGTTTGCAGGTGCAGCAGCAACTAAGAAGGCGAACGGCAGTTAGCGTTCATTGCAAAAGGTTTAGAGTACAAGAGAGGGAAGTCTCACTGCAACTGTATAGGGCTTTGGTGAGACCGCACCGAGAGTATTGTGTGCAGTTTTGCTCCTTATTTAAAAAAGGACAAACTTGCCCTCGAGGGGGTGCAGCGTAGATTCACTCGGTTAGTTCCTGGGATGAGGGGACTGACCTATGAGAAGAGGCTGAATAAACGAGGACTGTATTCTCCAGAGTACAGAAGAATTAGGGGAGATCTTATTGAGACATATAAGATCCTTAAAGGGCTGATAAAGTAGTCACTGAGGGTCTGTTTCCCCCAATAGGAGAATCTATAACCGGGGACACAGCCTGAAAATTGAGGGTCAGCCTTTGAGAACAGAGTTGAGGAAACATTTCTTCACTTAGCGGGCAATGAGTTTATGGAATTCACTCCCCCAGAAGGCTGTAGATGTCAGTCCTTGAACATCTTCAAGGCTGAAACTGATAGATTTTTAAAAAATAGAGGGATTGGGGGATATGGGGATAGAGCGGGTAATTAGAGTTAGGTCAGAAGATCAGCCACGATCTTATCGAATGGCGGGGCAGCTCGAGGGGCCGAATGGCCGACTCCTGCTCCTAATTCTTATGTATGTTCTACTTTCAACCTCTGTCTTCTGGTTACTGCAAACAGTTCCTCCCTATCTACTGCCCTCAACCTTTTTTGCTCTAAAGAGAATAATCCTCAGAACTATTTAGATAATGTCCTCTCCCGCATCAATTTCTGTGACACTATCAGTCTCACTCTCGCCCGGCTCCACTAGCTCCTCACCCCCAAGAGGAAGGAGTTGAAAATCTTCATCCTTGCCTTCAAAACCCTCCATGGCCTTGCTCCCCTTTACCTCTGTGATCCAATAAGTCCAAACAGACTTGTCCGCACCCTCTGCTCTGTGCCCTCCGGCCTACTCTATATCCCCCAGTTCTGCCCATCCCATCATCGGCGGTCAGGCCTTCAGCTGTTCTGTCCCATCCTTTGGAACTCAATCCCACAGTTGCATTGCCTCAACCCCTGCCTTACCGCCTTCAAGGCCTGTCTGATGACCCTTCTTTTTGACCGCTCCTTCACCCTCCGACTTCTACAACCCTGTCTTCCACTCCTCCTGATCCCAACCACAGCTCGGATTGAAAGCGTTGACTGTCCAGCGCCTCAGGGCGTTTTCCGACGTGAAAGACGCTGTACAAATGTAATTTGTTGTAATTCACTCACTGAGCTTCTGACTCATGATAAAACATTCATATTAGATCAGAACACAGAAAAACAAGAGGAACTTTTACTGAGATCTGTAGTCTACCCTAGTCCAGGATCACTGCTGGTCTAACTGATTACCTGTCAAAAATTAAGTCCTGGATCAGCTCTAACTTTCTCCAGTTGATAGTCGACAATGCAGAGGCTCTCCTGCTTGGCTCCCAATCAATACCTTCTCACCCCACGCACAGACATCATCTGTTACATTGTCTACTTCTGCTACTTCCTCTCCCCTCAGACCGCCGATACCCTTATCAGCTTTTACCACATACAGGCTTGATTACACCCACACTCTGCTCGCTGGACTTCCCAACTCTTCCCTCCACAAGCGACAGCCTGTTCAGAACTCTGCAGGCCATGTCCTCTCCCGACCAAACCATTCCTCCCTGACTCCACCGGCTCTCCATCCCCCGGTGGATCGAGTTCTCACCTTTAAAGCCCTCCACAATCTTGTCCCACCATTTCTCTGTGACCTCTATCTGTCAAACCCTACCAACCCATCTGCTCCCACCGCTTGGCGGGCACTGTCCTGTTCGCCACACCTCGGCGGTTGAGCTTTTAGCCTTTCTACCCCCAACTTCTAGAATTCCATCCCAGAGACCCTTCGCCACGCCCCCTCCTTTGCCTCCTTGAAGGCATTCCTCTTTTACAGTGTCTTCTATTATTTTCCCACCCGCAACCCTTCGCCTCCACTCCTCCCAAATCTAACCACCAGCCCAGGTGCAAACCCTTGACTGTCCAATTCTTTGGCACATACATTGAAACATGTAAAACCGCTACAGAAATCGAATTTGTTGTTGTTGAACTGTGACATTGAATTCCTCAAATTTAGGAAAACATGGCCTCTGACTGTTTGTACTCAATGTTTTATAAAAGATATTGTCGGGAAATTATAGAGGTAAAATGTATAAAATGCATATGATTGCACATAGTTACAGTTAACATAAATATCTTTCATTCTTAGGGAAGAAATATGAATCTTCCAGATACCTCCCTGATGGTAATGCTCAAAAGTCAAACTGTTTCCTTCGCCTCAACTAATTAAAGACAAAATATTGTCATCGACAGGCTGTCTAGTCAATGTTGCACAGCAATAATCATCAACATTAAATTATAGAATAAAAAGTGTTGTTTAGCCCATTGTGTCTGTGAGAGCGTTCACTCCCCCATTGGAGTTTGCTATTAATAAACCTCCTTTGCTCTTTCCCATTGTGTCTGCACTGCTGCTTCCTCACCAGTAGAGCTCTGTGCTCAACAACATGTTGCATTTGTGTTGTGTGAGGAATAGCACGAGGAGGAAATAAGGAGGGGAAGCTGAGTGACCAGGAGAAGGGTGGGGATTGGGTGAAGGGAAGGAGGACCCTGGGGTTGCCCTTGGTCTCCATAATGATCCTGGAGTAGCAGAACAATTTGGCTGAGGTTAGGCTGAGCGATAGGGTTTAGTATAATCCAGCCATGATCAGCCTGTTACCATGAGGCCAGATTTAAGCCACATGCATTTGGAGGCATGGGCCTGGGATGTGATGGAGCTGAGGTGGCTGTGGTACCAGGAGGATTGCAGGGGGAGCAGACTGTGTGGGGTGTGATGGTGAGAGGGTGTTGAGAATGGTGGTGAGGGAGCTGTGTATGCGATGGAAAGTTATTACTATAGATGGGAAATAAGCGGTGATGTTGATTTAGTCAATCTTTATAATCTTTATAATCTCTTCTCTTGACAGATTATGACATTGGTAAGAATCAGAATTGGCAATTTTTTTTGCCTTAAATGTCTGTTTTTCTTCTTAATCGAGTCAATTGCAGTCCTATGACATGATCTTAAGGTATATGAATTTACAATATTGAAGAAAAGTTATCAAGCCGGTGGGTACGTCTGTTTCTGTTATTCCTTGCCAAAAGCACTAAAACAGAATTGTCATAAACCTTTCCATGTTTTGCTATTTTGTTTAATTGATTTAGTTGCTACTTTTAAAGTGTATGTAAATATCTTAATTGATAATATTTATATTGAATTCAGAATTTAAAGCTTATTGTTTAATTGGAAAAGGAGACAGTGTGTTTCCTGATGGATTTCCATTCTCACGTTGTGGAATTGTCCAGATTCAGTACACAGAGAACCATAGAATCTTATAGCACAGAAGGAGGCCATTCGGCCCATCGTGCCTGTGCCGGCTCTTTGAAAGAGCTATCAATTAATCCCACTGCCCCGCTCTTAACCCTTAGCCCTGGCAATATTACCTTTTAAAGTACCTTATCTAATTCCCTCTTGAAAGCAATGTCGAATCTGCTTCCAGCACCGTTTCAGACAGTGCATTCCAGACTGTAACGACTCCCTGGGTAAAAACAATTCTGCTCGTCTTCCCTCTGGTTCTTTTGCCAGTTATTTTCAATCAGTCAATCACTGGTTAATGCAAGAGGAAACATTTCCTCCCTATTCACTCGATCAAAACGCCTCATAATTCTGAACATCTCTTTTAAATCTGCACTCAACCTTTTCTCCTCTT